GCTACACACAACCAGGCACCATATAAATACAAGGCATAGAACAGCCCCGTGCATGTATTCTGGAGAGAGCGAGAGAGCGAGAGCGAGAGAGCGAGGGAGCGAGAGAGCGAGAGAGAGAGAGAAATTCCTTGATGATGGGCTCCAGCACAAGCTGAAAAGCTTGGAATAATAAACCTTTGGTCATCTCTAATTAGATCCCACAACAATATTTGCACCTCATTGCAGTCTCGGAGGTGGCCTGGCAATTGTCTAAACCTTCTGCTGCATAATTTAGTCAAAAGTGAATAGCAACAGAAACAGGGACCGTAATTGTTATGACATATTCCACAACTTCTGCATCGGAAGGAGAAAAAGAATTGGGGACCTGTCAAAGGCAAGAGCTTTTATGTCACATAAATTAGCCTCCGCTACTTCAGAATGGCATCGTCTTGTCAGGCTGATGGCTGGCTGTCGTCAGTGTCAACGACGTGTCCCCAGGGAGCCCTTCACCAGCGGTATCGCCCCAAAGCAGGTGTCGTAAATTAAGTCCCCAACACTTTTGCTGCAGCAACGTTTAGGAGAATCTGATTAGAGCTACGAGCTACGCAGAAGCAGAGGGAACCTCACGGTTGATTGCAGCTCCTTGGAAGAGCAGATCAAATAACTCCAGCTGCAACTTCTTGCCAGAGATTAGAACAATATTGGAGGGCTGGGTCCAGTTAAGAAATACAATGGAGGTAGGTGGGAGGGGTGAATGACTGGGGATTGGGGAACCATAATTAGGATGGCCATGGAGGATTCACAAAAAAAAAATAGTAGAAATTTCTCTTTTTTCTTTCTTCCTTTTCAGAAAGAGGCAAGTCTTGGAATCTCCCTCCCTCGCTTCTTTCTTCCTCCCTTCCTTCCTCCCACCATTGCCCGCCCATCTTCTAATCCTTCCTCCCTCCCTTTCTTCCCCCCTCCCTCCCACTATTGCCCTATCCTCTAATCCTTCCTTCCTTCCTCCCTTCTTTCCTTCCTTCCTTCCTTCCTCCCTCCCTCCCACCATTGCCCACCTATCTTCTAATCCTTCCTCCCTCCCCCTGCCTTCCCCCCTCCCTCCCACTATTGCCCTCCCATCCTCTAATCCTTCCTTCCTTCCTCCCTCCCTCTCTTCCCTCCTCCCTCCCACCATTGCCCTATCCTCTAATCCTTCCTTCCTCTCTTCCTTCTTTCTTTCTTTCCTTCCTTCCTTCCTCCCTCCCTCTCTTCCTTCCTCCCTCCCACCACTGCCCACCCATCTTCTAATCCTTCCTTCCTCCCTCTCTTCCTTCTTTCCTTCCTTCCTTCCTCCCTCCCTCCCTCTCTTCCTTCCTCCCTCCTACCCTCCCTTCCACCATTGCCCTCCCACCATTGCCCACCCATCTTCTAATCCTTCCTTCCTCCCTCCCTCCCTCTCATCCTTCCTCTCTTCCTGCCTCCCTCCCATCCTCTAATCCAGTGGTTCTCAATCTCTCTGATGCCGCGACCCCATAATACATTTTCCCATGTTGTGGTGACCCCCAACCACTTATACATCACCGGGTGCCAGGGGCATGGCCAAAGAAAAGGGGAAAAAATGGCAGACAGCCTTGTTTGGCGACCCCCGTGAAATGGTCGTTCGATTCCAAATGGGGTCCCGACCCACAGGTTGAGAACCACTGCTCTAATCCATCCTTCCTTCTTTCCTTCCTTCCTTCCTTCCTTCCTTTCTTTCTTTCTTTCTTTCTTTCTTTCTTTCTTTCTTTCTTTCTTTCTTTCTTTCTTTCTCCTCTCCCTTCCCTTCCCTCCTCCTCGCCCTCTCCTCCTCAAGCAAACACATGCTTGCAAGAATTCCAATAATTCACAAAGAAGAGCCTCTGAATCCTTGGTACCCTTAGGCGGACACAGGACAAGCCAATGCAAGAGCTGTTCTTCAGAGACGTCAAGAATCCTGTCGGGATTTCCAGGCACAGGGACAAGTCCTCCCAGCTCTTTTCCCAGAAAGGGCAGGCTGGGAGGACGACCTCCCGGCTCATCCCCTGAAGTGCCGTCTTCCAATCTACGTACTTCATCAAGATCCGCTAAGCAGCCATCAGAGGTTAAGAGTGCCCCACCATTCCTCACGGGCGAGAGGACATGGCATGTTTCAGCAAGGGAGGAAATTAATGGGGTGAAGAAGCACGAAATTAGGCAATTACAGCCACCTTCCCTGATGGGGCTTATTATTGCAACTTGCTTGGCAAGGGGTGGGAAAGAAAAATACCAAACCCACCGCAAGTAAAATGGATGCCAGGATTCAAAAGGTTGTCTGTAAAAACTGGGTCCTGGTTTTTCGTAGCTACCTCTCCGATGTTTGTCAATTGGGCTTTTTCTGCTTCCAATATTTGAGGGGCTGCCCCAAAGAAGAGGGAGTCAAGCTATTCTCCAAAGCACCTGAAGGCAGGACAAGAAGCAATGGATGGAAACTAACTAAGTAGAGAAGCAACCTAGAACTAAGGAGAAATTTCCTGAGAGTTAGAACAATTAACCATTGGAACAACCTGCCTCCAGAAGCTGTGAATGCTCCAACACTGGAAGTTTTTAAGAAGAGACTGGACAGCCATTTGTCCGAAATGGTAAGCAAGGGGTTGGACTAAAAGACCTCCAAGGTTCCTTCCTGCTCTATTCTATTCTATTCTATTCTATTCTATTCTATTCTATTCTATTCTATTCTATTCTATTCTATATCCTATTCCATTCCATATTCTATTCTATTCTATTCTATTCTATTCTATTCTATTCTATTCTATTCTATATCCTATTCCATTCCATATTCTATTCTATTCTATTCTATTCTATTCTATTCTATTCTATTCTATTCTATTCTATTCTATTCTTAGTGACTGTTTGGAGATATGATGGACCCCCCCCTCAAAGATACTTACAAACTGGATTCAAAGTTCCAATGGCTACCCTCCACACACAAATGTCACATTATGTCACTTTGGGTGCTCAGCAACCAGCCCACATTTATGGCAGTTTGCAGCATCATTGTGTCACAATTTATGATTATTTTGGGGCAGAAACTGAAGTTTACTTTCTGTTTATAGCAAAAAAAAAACAAAACCCGAATCATTGCAGACAATGGGTTTGCTTAACAATTGCTGAACGACCACTATATTTGTTTAACAACGGCAGCAAAACAAGTCATAAAGTCAGGTCAGTCACATGGATGCCTCGACACACTCCCATCATGACATACTGTTGGAAATTCTTACTTGTGTATGTTTTATATGTATATGTTTCCAATGTCCACAAAACACCTCTGTGTGATTCAAAAACCTACATTCGCGCAAACCAAAAAAGTATCACAAGTCTAGAGATGCAGCTGTTCCCTCATTCCTTTTAATGACATTTCCCAGCTGTTTAAACTCAGTGTTCAGTCACACCTAAGTACGCCAGGTTAAAACAAAAACAAAAAAGTTAGAAACTCAATTAACACCATGAAAGGTCCACAGAACGTATCTCAACACATCCCTCATTGCCGTAATGGCGTGATGGGAGGATGGGAGGAGAAGTAAGGCAAACGAAGAAACAAATCAAGGGATAGACATAGAACTTGGGGGTATGAAAAGAAGAATTTTTGGAAGAAACAAAGATCAGCAGCTGAATCGTGGAGCAAAGAAGGAAGATGTTGGAATAGCGTCTCCCTCTGAATTCAGGGCCTCTTCATTCGCTTATGTCAGCTTGAATCAGATAATCATATAATTAATGGATCGGTCCCCCGTGGTGACAGACATTTACACTGGAGAGAAAATCTGGGTGAAAATAATGAGTTTTATCATCATACCATGTCAACGCACACACTTCTCTATGTCAGTGAAAAGAGCCATTAGTTGCCGTTATCATCTTACCGGTGAAGACATGAGAAGTTGGCATGTTTGCACACTCTATTTAGACCTGGCTGGGATTAACAATGGAACTGGATTTGTTAGCTGATGTGATTTAGATGTTGGGGGAGGGATGGGTGACTCTTATAACACCAAAACATCCTTGGCTCCAAGAAATGTATGTTGGTTTAGTAAGAATGAGAGGAGACATAGAAACAAATATAGTGCCTGGATGGATGGATGGATGGATGGATGGATGGATGGATGGATGGATGGATGGATGGATGGATAGATGGATGGATGGATGGATGGATGGATGGACGGACCGGATGGACGGATATGTACATGCATGCATACATACATTCTTTATACCTACAGTGGTACCTTGGTACTTAACTGGTTTGAAACACATCAAATTTATTACTCAACACATTTTGAAGCAAAAATGTTGTCCCAGTACTCATCGTTTGTTTGGTACTGAACACACAAGCTGGAACTTTGTTGGCTGCAATGTGGCTCACTACATTATTCCTTATGCGAAAAAAATTGTTACATACTCATTGTTTTTGGTACTCATCATGCCCCCCCACCAGAACCAATTAAGTTGAATACTGAGGTACATAGATAGATAGATAGATAGATAGATAGATAGATAGATAGATAGATAGATAGATAGATGGAGAGAGAGAGAAATGGACAGATGGATGGATGGATAAAGACAGAGAGACATGGATGGATAGATAGATAGATAGATAGATAGATAGATAGATAGATAGATAGATAGATATACACAGAAGAGACAGATGGATGGATGGATGGGTGGATAGTCAAATTGGAGCTATCGATTTCGGAACTAATATTGGCTCTTCTCTTCCATTCCTGTTGAGGTCCTTGATGCTCTCTGAGCTTGGTTGTTTTCTTGTAGACATTTCATTACCCAACTAGGGAACATCATCGTTGCTAATGTTAATGATGATGATAGCACTCCCTGCTAATTATATTTAAAAGCAGGAGAGAAGGCTGGTTCTCCGTGAAGGTTCAAAGATATGCATCATCCAGTAAACTATTGATTTGTAAGACTGTTTCAGCCTTTGATAACCATCTGACTAAATCATTCCTGGGATCTTTCCAGTTTCAAGAATAAAGCCTTACCTTGAGGACATCTTCATCAACTGATCTGCATTCAGCAGAGCTGGAGATGTCTCTGATGGATCCATCTTCATCAACAGCAACTACTTTCACAGGGATAGACACTGGCTTGCCCGTCAGAATGGCTGTGTTGAGGATCTCAGTATCCTATTCAGGCACACAACAAAGAAGAAAACACAGGTCCATAAAAGAAGGTGCCATCAGAAGAGTAAGGTGAAGTAGGGACATAGTTAAGGCCCCTCTATCCCATTTTCATCCTCACAATAATCTTGTAGAACACCTGCTGTTCATAATGAAGGTCAGATTCCACCTCAATATCTTCTGATTGAAATCATAAAGACCTGGAGAAGATTCCAGCAAGACCTTTGCTAAATTCAGCAGAGCCCTCAATAAACTAGGGTTCTCAACAACACCAGAAAGTTGTCTACGATAAAAAAGAGTGGTGGGATATCTTAAAAAACTGTTGTGCCACCATTAATATGTTGTGCCAGAAACAGGAACTAGATGTTCAAAGAAACTTCCCCCAACTCGGCATCCTTCAATGGAGCTGGACTATAATCCTTTTATATCACATGTAGAAATGGTCTTTCCCCTTTCGTATTTCCACCACCATCCATGGACAATAACGTTAGGTCAGGTCATTCCAAAGATGCTTTTTCAGGAGGCAACTGGACTTTCTTGTTTTTCTTTGAAGACATTTTACTTCTCATCCAAGAAGCTTCTTCAGCTCTGACTGGTTGGTGGGAAATGGTCTGGTCTGACTGGATGGTCAGAGCTGAAGAAGCTTCTTGGATGAGAAGCGAAACGTCTTCCAAGAAAAACAACAAAGTCCTGTTGCCTCATGAAAAAGCATCCTTGGGACAACCATGACCTGGATGACTGAGAATCTCCGTAGACACTTACAGATAATTCAAGTCCCACCTCAGTAGGATTCCGCAAAACACAAGGCAGTTTCTATAGGTCACCTATAAACCTAATCCTTGTGGTTCTTTGGGACCAGATTATCTTTCAGCCTCGGAGTGCTGAAATGACAGATTACCCAAATCACGTGCCTCCTATCGCTCTTATTCTTCGATTCCTAAATTCCTCCATTGCAGAAGCTTATAGCCAAACCCTTCCCTTCTCTGCAGAAATGGCAACCCAGCGAGAAAATCCTTCGTTCATTTTTGTCAAATCACTGTGGCGCCAACAGCGCCCCCGATACCAATTGCTAATTTAAAAAAATACATATATTTTCTGCTTCATCGACAAATGCCACTTGGAGACATTCTCAGGGCCAGGAAGTCATAGACAGATCGTTTCCTCAGCAAGTTCTGAGAAAGCCATCGATGCTTTTTCCTCAATACATTCTCAGATGCAGCCCGCTAATGAGTCCATTAACGGGGAATTCATTGATACAGCACCATGGATGCCATTTGATTAATTACGCCAGCTCCCTGCTCTCATCAGGACATAGGCAGAGGAAGAGAGGTGCAAAATGAAGGACAAGAATCCTTGAATTAAGGCCTTTGCTCCGGGGAAGCAATATTTGCAATTAAGACATGGGATCTGGACCTCACGGTGAGTGATGATGCTTTTGCAACTCGCTACAGCCATAGACCTGGCTGCAAAAAAAAAAAAAGGAGAACCACTCTACTTCAAGTGCCATCTGCCACTGGAATGGGTGGATCGACCCATCCAGGCTATTAAAGTTGGGAAAAAAGCAGACCAGTTTATAAGAGCGTATTAACACATGTGCCAAGCCAGCCTCCATTACGGCATGTGTTGCCACAGCAAACAAGGTCCTTGACATGCGTTGCTCCCCTGAATAAAAGTCTGGACAAAACATTTGCAACAGATGCATCCAGAAAGAGGCCGGCATTTGGAGGATGAGGCCTGCCATTAAAGACAGATTGCCCCCAAACTTGGCAATCTTTATGCATGTGAGCATGTAACTATCTGTGTATGCATGTGTATATATCAGTGCAAGTGTGCGCATGGGTGTAGATATGTGCATCTATGTCTGTGGGTATGTATAAATGTGTATGTATGTGGACATGCGGGTGTATAGACATATACACACAGTGTATATACTAGATATGGCTGTGAGAGTTGGACCATAAGGAAGACTCTTGAGCATCCCTTGGACTGTGAGGAGATCCAATCGGTCAACCCTAAGAAATCAATCCTGACCATCTGTGATGCCCAGGGCACAGCACAAAGGCAATGCAGTCAGCTGGCAATTCAAACCGCCCTTTAATTGCTCCAAATTTTCCCCAAATGCTCCCACATTTCTGGCAAGCCCCAGAACAAAGTAAGACACACACACCTCTGGCTGCAAGTAGTTTCACATACAGTCTGATTAGGAGAGGAATTTACTCAAGGCCACGGAGATAAGAAAGAATGATACATTCATCATAACCCTAACAAGTCTGTGTGAATACACGCTTGCCTGAGCAGTTTCAAAAGGGAAGCCAAAATACAGTCCGAGATCTATAAACATCCAAGCAGCATTGTCTGTCAGTCCAAGGGTCAGAGTTTCTGGGTTTCCAAGCAGACGTCATAGAACAAGAGATCAGCAACAACACACAAAAAACTCCAAGGAATCAGCGTTTGTTCCCGACAAATGCCTCCCCCCACAGCGTCTCCTTAAATCTCAGTCTTCAGGTGTGCCTTGTGAAGAGGGACAGGGCGTTCTCCTCCCGAGTAGTTGAGTCTGCCTGCGTTGTTCCCTCCTTCTCTCCACTCTCCATGCTCTAGGATCAGGAGGGGGTGGCCCTTGCTCCTCGCCTGAATTCTGTCTCTCTCTCTCCTGTTCCTCCTGTCCCACTCCTCAAGGGCCCTGGCCTGCATCCGTCTGCTCTCCCCACATTCCTCTGAAGCCACAGACACCTCTCCCTCGACTTCCATCGGGTCCCATTCCAGCTCATTTTCCTCCATAGATTCAGGCTCCAACGGAGGTTATGACACCATCCTTTGGAAGGACAGGTACTGAGGGTCAAATCCTTTGGCCACCAAATCAGAAGAGAGTTGGGAAAGAAGGAAGGCAGAAGAAGAAGGGGACAGCAGAAGAGGAGATGGTTAGATAGTGGCATCGACACAATGAACATGAATTTGGGCAAACTCCGGAGACAGTGGAGGATGGGGGGACCCAGCGTGCTGTGGTCTGCGTACATAGCCTATTCAGACTTGGGCCATGCGAGAGGCTGGCCAGAGGGTGTGTGTGTGCAGCAGCTCAAATTTTTCCCAGGAAAAAGAGCAATCACTCATATGTAAAGCAGCTGCTTTCTTTGTTATAGACCAGTGGTGGTGAACCTATGGCATGGATGCCAGAGGCGGCACTCAGAGCCCTCTCTGTGGGCAGACGTGCCGTTGCCCCAGCCTCGCCTCCCCTCATAACCCCCTCCTCTCCAGTAGCCCCCCTGAAGGAGAGTCACCTCTGATTGTGGCCCACATGGAGCAGCGCAGCCAAGCACATGGCAGCCAGGCAGCGAAGATAAGACTCTGCCCTCACACCCCATCATGCAGTTGATGCTGCAGGGCGCGGGCAGAGGGTGTGGCCGCCATAGCGCTGCTGGGCTGCCAGGGCGGGCCCTGGAGGTGGTGAGTGGCCCTGCAGGCAGGCAAGGGGGGAGATGGGGGGGCAAAGCGGGGGTGGGGCAGGGGGTGGAGCGTGGGCAGGGCCAGTTTTGGGGCACTCAGTCTCTAAAAGGTTGGCCATCACTGTTATAGACTATAGGTATTTAATTGATATTCTACATATTCTAAATTTCAAATTTGACCAATTTAAGATATGTGGACTTTAAGTCCCAGAGGTGCCGAACCAGCGAGGGTGGACTTCCAGAATCCCCAGCCAGTATGCCTTGTTTTGTTGGGTCGGCACTCTAGGAACATCTCTGTAGAAGACATTCAGGGAAATGCTTCCTAAAAAAAAGTCAGATTCTCTGTAGCTCCAGTGCTGTCCTGCTTAGGATGTTCACATGACCTGTTAAGCTTCCTGTTGACCCAGCTAGGCACATCATGTGAACACAGAGGCCACACAGTAGCTTTACATCTTAGCTAGCATACAATGTCCACTTTGAAGGATTAGGGAAGAGTGGACAAGGCGCTGGACGCATGAATAGCTTCCTCCGTTGATCCTATCCTGAGTTCTGCTACTCTGAGCAACGGGACCGCATTCACTTCAGCAGCACTGAAACCCACATTTTGAGTTCCTTTCACACGGGGTGCCTTGCAATCCGCACATCATCCCCCCTATGCAGAAATGTCTGGTTTGGCATTTGATTTTTCCGAAGGATTTAAACATCTGACTCCAGGCTGCGGATAAATAGGGATGATCTTTGAAAGAAGAAAAGTGCAAGGAAGGAAAACTAGGCATTCTTCACTCCGCATCTCGGGAGGATGCGAACCAGATGCTTAGTGCCTCTTTCCCTCTCCTCCGCCCCCTCCCCCCCACCCACGACTGCATTATGTTCATCAGGATGTTGGGAGTTTATCCCTTCCCAGCTGACATCTGGTGCCGAGAGGACAGGGTTTTTCTTTAAAAAAAAAACAAAAGATGAAGAATGCGAGAGAGGAAATGCATCGCCATCAGTGGGATTGTTGCTACCCATTTTAATAGTAGGGGTAGCACAATCAGACGTTCGATCTGCATTTCTGTGAAATATTAATATGTTTCATTATCCAGGCATCCAAAAAGCGCCATCTTTACTCTCAAAACAGGTTGGTCCTTCCTTCCTTCCTTCCTTCCTTCCTTCCTTCCTTCCTTCCTTCCTTCCTTCCTTCCCTCCCTCCCTCCCTCCCTCCTTCCCTTCCTCCCCTTCCTCCCCTTCTCCGCTCCTCTTCCTTCTTTCCTTCCTTCTCCCTCCCTCCCTCCCTCCATCTCCCTTCTTTCCTTCCTTCCTTCCTTCCCCCTCCCTCCCCTCCTTCCTTCCTCCCTCCTTTTCCTTCCTTCCTTCCTCCCTCCATCTCCCCTTCCTTCCTTCTTTCCTTCCTTCTTTCCTTCCTTCCTTCCTTCCCCCTCTCTCCCTCCCCCCTTCCTCCCTCCCTCCTTCTCTCTGTCTCTCTGTCTCTCTCTCTCTCTCTCTCTCTCTCTCACACACACACACACACACACACACACACACACACACCATGCAGAGATAACTAGTAAAAATGGAAAGATATCG